TGTGCCCACTCGGCACCTGTTGGATGTTTTGAAGGGCGCTGTTATCGCCGCTGCTCAGATTTATGCGAACAATCGTTCAGTTTTCAAAGTCAATACTTTTACCGTTGCAATTGGCTTTGAAGCGACCGCCGTCGACATTTTTATGAGCCGACAATTGGGCGAATTTGATGCATTGCCATTGAAATGGGCTCTAAACTCACCACAAGTGGACTCCTGCTGGCTTCCAATTAATTAGCTTTAGTTTAAATAAGATGCAAAGCAAATATATAAGCAAAATAATAAATACAAATGTTGCTCTACAAATTGAAAAACATTAAACTCCGTTCATCTATGAAGAATTCAGGCTTTATTTAATTATAAATAATCTTGCGTTTTAAATATTTACGTAGTTAATTCATTTAAGTCGATACCTGATCTGAAGTTAACATGTATTCTTATTTTGTAAATAAATAAAAAAAAATATATATATAAAAATATACAGGTAAATGTGTATGCCTGTAAATGCACAGACATGAGTATGATTATTAATAGGAAGGAGACAGATTAATTTCCGTTTTAGTCCCAATATAAATTATATTGGGACTATAAACGGAAATAAATTTTCAAAACGCAACTTCTTAAAATGTGCTATATCAATCACAATTAAAGCACGACAGCCTGAAGGCCTGAAGGGCAATATTAAATGGCTAACAAGAAATTTGCATACAAACCTTTTAAATTTATTTACCATATTTGCGGGTGAAATTTTCACTTACAGTTCATAAGGTAAGTTGTAATCTTACGGTTCAATCAGTCAGTCAGTCAATCAATCCTAAGGAAACTTTTAAGCTTGCATTTCAATCAATCAGTCAGTAAGTCAGTCAAATGGACGAAAAGTCGTATATATTTTTTATTTTATTTTATTCAACTTCCATCCTAGCTAACCGATTTTAAGCCCATCAATTGAATTCTTTATTTTGATGAACCTGTAAGACAATCATGACCCGATAATACTTACATAACCAATTGTGCAACCAACTGGCGCCCGAGCAGGAACCCAGCAGAACAACAGCAACATCCTCTGAACTGGAGCTCACACAGGGAACAGCAGTCGCATCTCGACAACAGTCACAACAGCAACAGCAACAACAGCAGCAACAGCAACAACAACAACTAAGCCAGCAGCAGCCACATAACGTACCAAGTTTGAATATACTCGTAAGATTCCTGAGTATATTAGGTAGCAAAATTTTTACGAGCTCATTATGGCTCATTTCGGCGATTGTTGTGATCCTTTTATGCGCCTTCGAATGGCTTCAAATGGTTATGAGGCTATTCTCTGTCTGTCCTGCTCGACCGCGTTTCGCACTCATCCTGTAGCTACAGCAACTGCTGCTGCTGCTGCTGCTGCTACTGCCAGGACGACTGACGATATTTAGTTTGCAGTTGCGACTGCGATTTTTACTTTTGGCTGCCGTTCTTTACGTTTCGTTTCGTTTGGTTTGCTTTGCTTTGGGTTTTTGTACTTTTTGCTTGGCTTTCCGCTCATGTTACTTGGCAGTTTGTTGTCGGTCCTCGCACATTTGGGAAAATGTCGCCGTCTGTCTGTGCGCCTGTGTGTCTGTGTGTGTGGACATCCGTGCGCTGTGTGCAAGTTTTTGTATCTTTTCGCATGTTGTTGATTTTAGAGACTTGGCAACGAATGCCAGCGCCTGCTGCAGGGGCGGCGGCGGAACAAAAGTAAATTTCTTCTTATAATAAGTTTATTTTGCAAACACTTGTGGCAAGCAACTTTGTTTGTTCGCTCGTCGGTTTTGGCCTCTAATCTACGAGCCGTTTGTGCGAATGTGCAAACTTTGACAAATATTTGCAAAAGTTTCACAACCGAACGCCACGATCTCTTTGCATTATGCATATGAATTTATTACCATCAATTTGGAGACGCATTAATAACGCATCCCAGATATTTATATATAGATATATTGAAATGCCGAATACTTAAGACAGAAGGGCATTAACATATTGACGTCAAGCGAAATTTAGCAAAATGCATCAATATTATATTAATAACATATTGAAATTCTAGACGTATCGATGCTAGCCGTAAAGTGCATCGAAATTATTGTATTTGAGATTTTAATTATCTGTTAAGCGCTTCGAATAAGCTATCGCAAAGCAAATAATAATAAAGCAATGAAAAAATTCTTTTTAGTTTTGTTGCTGCAAATGCCTAATAAATAATTCTTAAGTGCTAGCCGGAACTATGAAATTCGCATTTAAAAATGGAGAATGAAATCCGAATAAACATCACATAGCATATAAGTAAGTCGAATAACGTATTCGTACGAATCATGTTAAACTGCCTGTCTATATATTTGGAAGTAGAGCGCGAATAAGAGAGGTGTCCACATATTCAATGGCCAAGAAGCACCAAAATTAACTTGCATCAACATTACAGTTGTTATCTCTCGACTGCGTGATGTATCTCAGCTAACTACTGCTTGTCTATGATTTATTCTTAAATAATATTTAAAGTTTTAATAGCTTTTATATATATTATGTTTAGTATTAAATACAAAAATCAGTCTATTAACTTTAAATTAGTTTTAGAATTTACAATGAAAAATAGCAATAATAGAAAGTTGTAAAAAGTTAAGAAATGGAAAATTGATTGATGTTAATAATGATAAAACAGATTTTTCTTTTCCTTGCGAAGTGGGCTAAGTGTCGACACACTAAGCGGGAAGTTTAAAGATCGAACTCATGTGTAGAAAAAGTTATTTTATTATATTTATAAATTTAAAATAAATGTGTTTGTCTCAATAATATTTATAAATAATTTCAAATTTTTTTCCTTTTTGCAATTGAGATACGTCTATTTAAATGAAGAAAAAGGGAGCCAGTCTTTATTAAGTTTGTTGTTTTTGGAGGTGATTGGGACCCTCGGATGTGCTAGAATGGCTCGATATGGATAGCTGGCAAAATATCTGAGATTTTGATGTATTAATGACAATAGATTCTAGCACTGCCTCCCTTTAGTTATTACATTATTTTTTTGTACAATAATAAATTATGTAAATAAATAAATATATAGATTCTCTTTTATTTATCTATTTATTTATTTATTTTGATTATTAGAGTTTACATCTGCTTGAAGTAGGCACGAACTACACAAACAATATAATATAATTCATTTCAACCTAACGACGTCGGGTAGTATCTTCTAGTTTGAGTATAAAGCTTGCGTAAAAGTGATTTAGTTAAAAGAACTCAACCTAGAAAAATATTTGGATTTGATAACATCATCAATACATACCAATTATAATAAGAAATCTATTTTGTTTTCGAAATGGTTTAGTTTGCACATTTATATTTTGCGAAGAGTTTGTTGAAACGGAATTCAAAATTTATAAAATGTAGGAAAATTAAATATAACTAAAACCTAAGTTTTCTAAAATTAGTATGGGTATTTTTAAATTTTTAAATATTTATATTGTATAAATATGAAGAACTTTTAATATGCTTTTGTTTATTAAAAAAATATAACTTAAACAAAATATTCAACTATTTTGAGACGTCGCACAAAATGCAACGGACAAATTCATGGCATGGCGAGCAAAGCATTGTATTTGTATCTGAATGTGAATTTGTATCTGAAGCGCGTTGCGTGCAACTGGCGACTGACAACTGGCAACTGGCGAGCGTAGAGTGCCTGTCGAATTGAGTGCAAAAGTGACTAAAATCGTTTGAGTGAAAACGTACGCCGCCTGGCCTATAAGAAAAATCAGCCCTCCTCCATGATGAATTTCCACAGACAGAGCGAGTTTTCCACACGCGCAAATGGTGAATTCTCCGCTCAGCGCTCAAACATGTTCGAATGAACTTGCTCGAACATGCCAAATGAACGCATGGAGCAGTCACTGGCAACTGGATTCACTGGTGAGAGTGAGCGAGCCGTTGGTTTGAGTAGCTCTTATCACTTGCTGAGCGCAGCGAGTATGGCTCATTCCGTTTCGGTTTCGCTCATTCATTCGGTTGTTCGGTGTTTCGCCTCTCTGTTTTGGCTGCTTCTTCTTCTTGTGCTGCTGCCGCTGCTGCTGCTGCCGCCGCTGCTGCTGCGTATCGGGGGAGCTCTACAGGCAAAACGCTGCCGTCGCTGACGTTCGCTGCTTGTGGCCCGTTGCCATTCAGTTGAGTTTAGTTGAGTCTCAGTCAAAACACAACCAACTGCGATTTGGTGGCACATTCGTTCGATGGCAACGGTTTGGATAACAGGCGCGCGCTTTATTTTATTATCCCACATTATCAGCGGCATTATTGTTATTGGCATTGTACGCTCAATTTTAATGTTGTATGGCCCGCGCGCTCTGAAATCGCAGTCGCCTTCGTATCTGTAGTCCAGTGGCCAGTGAATATCTGAATTTGAATTTGAATTTCAATTTGAATCTCAATTTCGAAGCGTATCTGAAGCGTCAGTTGAACGTGAAGCGCGCGTTCGTCGCCGTCGTCGGTCGTTTCGGTCAGCGCTAATAACAATAATAATTATAATAACAATAACAGCAATAATAATAGTAATAATAATAATAATAATAATAATAGTTTGTAATAACAATAATGATAACGCTATGAATGTTAAACGAGTCATTGAATTCAAAATGATTCAATAGGCGCCACTTCGAATACTTCAAATCAATATTTACTTATTAACACCCAACAAATATTATATATATAGTGCCCAGTGTCAAGTTAATTAAACACGCGTGCAATTGCAAAAACGAAACCAAAATCAAGTATACGAAACTTTAATGCAACTTAATTAATTTAAACATACAAATATTTTATAGAATTTTATAACTGATGCGAGCCGGCAACAGTGCAATAAAAATTTAAAAAAAAATAATAATAATTTCAAATATTCCAAATTATTTGAAAAAATATTGTAAAACTTAAACACATTGCATAAATAATAAAAATTAAAAAAGAAAAAAAAAAGAAAACTTGAAACCAAAATATATTAATTATTTAAAAATAATATTAACTTATTTAAATACTATTGCTTAGGCAATGCCCATTGTGCAATTAAGCGCAATTGAGTGCTAAATTTTGTATACGAGTGCCGTGTGCCGCGTGCAGTTACTTTTAGTAGCTGCTGTAGCTGCCAGTTAACCGCCAAAATTCTCACCGCCAGCAGCAGCCACAACATGAACTCCTACTTTGAGCAGGCCTCCGGCTTCTATGGCCATCCGCACCAAGCGACGGGCATGACAATGGGCACGGGTGGCCATCACGATCAGACAACGGCCAGCGCCGCAGCGGCCGCCTACAGAGGCTTCCCGCTATCGCTGGGCATGTCTCCCTACGCCAACCATCATCTGCAGCGCACCACACAGGACTCGCCTTACGATGCGAGCATCACGGCTGCCTGCAACAAGATCTACGGGGATGCAGGCAGTGCCTACAAACAGGATTGCCTTAATATCAAAGCGGACGCCGTCAACGGCTACAAGGACATTTGGAACACGGGCGGCGCCAATGGCGGGGGCGGAGGTGGCGGTGGCGGTGGTGCCACCGCTGGCAACACCTCAAATGGCTCCAATGCGCCCAACGCTGCAAATGGACAGAATAATGCGGGCGGTGGCATGCCCGTTCGCCCATCCGCCTGCACGCCCGACTCTCGCGTCGGCGGCTACTTGGACACATCGGGCGGTAGCCCCGTAAGCCATCGCGGCGGCGGCAGCGCTGGCGGCGGCAACGGCACCGCTGGCGGCGTACCACAGAATACAGCCAGCGGCGTGGGCGGCGGTGTGGGCGCGGCCACACCATGGAATGCCAATTGCACCATCTCGGGCGCTGCGGCGGCCCAAACAGCGGCCGCCAGCAGTTTACACCAGGCCAGCAATCACACCTTCTACCCCTGGATGGCAATCGCAGGTGAGTCCACAGCAGATCCAAGCAAAAGTGAGTGTCCAGCGCAGTCTCAACTCTCTACTTGATCCATAAATATATTTTAAGCTTCAGTTCGATTCAGTTTTGCTTCATTTTTATTAGCCAAGTTAAGTGCCTTGTTGTTGTTATTGTTGTTGCAGCTACAGATGTGTTGTCATGTGTGTTTTCATAGTTGTTTACCTGGTCAAGTGATGATCCATTAGACACCCACTTGCCAAGTGAATAACAGTCACTAAAAATAACAATATTGTGACTAATATAAGTAAATTGTTGACACTGTCTGGCCGTTATGGAAAAACAGTTTAAATAAACTGAATAGACTTTATTTAGTTTAAACAGATTTGCAAGCTATGTAATTAATACAAAATTATTTTGAAAAATATTTAACGTACATAAATATGTACTAAAAAAATGTTTTTGAAACAATTATATTTCTTTGAAAATGATCGGGCATTTATAAATTTTCGGTCGAATATCAGTTTTTTGGTTAATTTCGGGACTTAATAAAAAGATAATGAAAATACAGAAAATAAATTGTCATTTACTTTGATTCAACATTTAAATTATATGTTTTTTATTTTTCAAAATATTTTTGAATAATATATTTCTGTACCTTATATATTTTCCAATATAATAATATATTAAACTCTGAATCTCTGTACAAAAAATTCGAATTTGCAAAGAACAAATACAAAATTCAAATTTATTCTCAAGAAAAACAAAATTAAATGTTTTTCTTCAGTTCAATAAGTTCAGAAGAATTTTTTTTTTATAAAATAACAAAAATCACATTTCAACAATTTTTAAAATGTGTCTATGATTTCATTTTACTTTTTGTAAAAGGCTTACAAAAAAATATAAAATAAATTATAATCAAAGTCTAGTGAAAACTAAAGAATATATCTCAATATATTTTCTTTAAATATTATTATTTCAAAATTCTTAATTAGTTGGAATTTGTTAATTGGTTCTGCAATATTTAAATGAAGTGTCTTACACTGTTTTAATGCAACGCATTAATTTAAAGTTTAATCGGCCACTGGGCACAAATTTAGCTTGAAGCCAACTCAACTGACGCATGAACAAAACTCCAACCACTCGAACTGGGCATAACCAACCGATCTAGATATAACTACTGAGCTGCACCTGGTAGTTACCTCTTGTTCTCTACTTTTACTGTGCGCTGCTGCTGCCTCATAATTTTCAACACTTTGTTTACTAATTTTTGTCACCTTTGGTTTTAATGATGCTCACCGGCGACGTCGTCGTCGTCGACGTTGTCAGTAATTGTTGCAACGACGACAACGTTGGCGGCAAAGTGGCAACAAAACTGTGCTGTAATTTGTGCAACAAGAGCAGCCGCCGCGGCAGCCAACTGGCAACGCAGTAAATTATGGCCATGCGGCTAAAAGAGCTGCAAGAATAGCAAAAAAGCCAACAGCAGCGTGAAGAAATCCTTTTGCCAGGACACACACTGAGCGCTCGCGTCGGGCGGTTGAGCAGAAGGCGCGCTTATTACAGTTAACAACGCCATTATGTAATTATGTACTGCACGTCCTCAAGTAGACAGCCTTTTCGAGCACTTCGGCCACCAGCCGAGCCAAGTCCAGGTCGGTCGGTCATCCCGCAGCCTATTTACCCGTCCTCTAGTAGCGAGTCCTAAGCACAAACCTTATCAACTGCAGCTCATAGGGCTTGGGGTCGCAAACAGTCGCCGATAAGCCACAAAGCACCTTCAATAATCATAAGCGAAATTCCATTTTTAAGTCGATTCCAATAAAAAAAATAAAAATAAATCAGGGTTCAGTTCAAGACCCCCAAAAACTGACCAAGCGAAATTTATGATCGCCTTCATGTAGGTGGTCAGCGGGCAAACATAAATTTCAATTCGCATTCTGAACGCGTTAAGTTTGCAACATTCATGTGGCACTTGGGCCGCAGGGCAAAACAGCAGTAAGGGGCAGTAAAGCAGCAGTTCGCAAAAATCAATCAAATTTCACTTGGGCTATCGATAATTACAAACTTGCCACCACGAGCACCCGTAGGGGCATGCAGCTGGTTAAAAAACAATTAAAGTTGAACCAAATATGAGATGAAGGTACGCTCGGGCGACAGGTTTTTGCGGAACTGGTTCGCTCCAAGTGCTTCATTGCTCTTCATTCCCCAAGCATCGGACTCGATCTCAATCAATCGATTCCCGCTATAAAGCAGAGATGATCGTAATGTAATTTATGCCCAACGTGAAATCCTGACAATGCATTTCACAGCCCATTTCGTGCTGCTTTATACAGGGTGTTGCATGCGAATTTCTTCTGCGAAACACTCAAAATCTGATTGTTGTGTTACCTAAAAGCAACACCAATTGACTAGCTAGACTCAAATAGGTCTTCTAAGAATTCTAACACCTGAGTTTTTTTTAGAGACCAACCGTAATTATGCCAGAAGTGTTTCCAATAAGAATACGATATGAACATAAAACTCACCACGCCTTAGAGTTCTTCGAGGTGCGGGTGAATTGTTGGATCTGTTGGTGAATACAACATTTGAATTATTAGTTATATTTTATTTCATTGAATTATTTATTTATATCATTGAATTATTATTTATTATCATTAGTTCTGTTATAATTGTATAATATATTATACATGCATTTTGTTCTATATAGTTTTTGAATTTTTATATATACATACAGATATGTTTTGATGCATATAAAATGTTTACGAGTTCCGCAAACAGAAAATCAAGATTTTAACATATAAACTAATTTTTTTTATTGTAATCTAAAAGAAATCTGTTAAATATTAAATATGCTAAAAAATATATTCGCCCAAAATACTCGCCTTTATTATAATACAACATTTTGTTCTGTTTACTTAAAGGTTTTTTTTTTTTAAATCAAGATTGAAACTAAATTTTTAAATATTCATTTATTATTATAAAATTGACTATTTGTCAATTCAAATTTGCAAGGACCCATTTTAAGCACACTTTAAAGCTTATAAATACGCCAAGAATTATACATTAATGTTTTTACCTTCATTCCTTTCATTTATTAGACTTTATTCGACTTAAACGGTTTCTAACAATTTCCTCGATTTTCACATACTCCAAATCTTGATTTGCTGCTCAAATCAGCTTACAAATCTCTATTAAAATCAATATCGAATCTAAATTTTTTGCACTGTTGATTTATTTTACACTCGAAACAATTTGTAATGTGAACAATAATTTAATATGGAGCGTTTTTGGCTGTGAGCCACTGATTCCATCGCAAAAGTATTCGCAGAGGGGAAAACAAAATCAAGCCATAAATAAATCGGCGCACACTTCCAGCGATCATCGATCATTTCCAGCGGCCTCCAAAGCCAAGCAATAAAAAAAGAGAAAAAATCAAGAAAATAATGAAAAATTCCGTTTTTATCGTATCTAAACATGGTTTAAGATTTGAGAACCTACTTCAGTTTTGTTGGCTGTTGGCTGTTGGGTGTTTGAGTTGGCGATTTGTTTGTTGTTGTTGTTGTTTGTGTTATGTGTGAACACGTTGAGCGCGGGGCCATTAAATCATTGTCCGGAAGGCTTTTAAGTCATTATCGATAAATTTCAACATAAATTCTTAAATTCGTAAATTTGCTTTATTTGCCTGGCCCACACACGCACACTTATATACCAGTTGTATATGTGTGTGTTTCTGTCTGACACGTTGTGTCTTGGGGCCTAAATTTGTTTGGCTAATTTTGTTGCCCACGCAGGAAAAAAAAACAGATCCATATCATTTGAAAAGACGAGCCGCACATGTTTCGTTTCCCATTTCTTTATTTGCCCCGAAATGACCTTGAGAATCTGCTGGCCAGGTCCTGCAATTGACACGTCCTGCTGCAATCATAATTCATATTTTGAGGCTGCGTCCATGCTGCGTCTGCAAATGGGCGCAATTAACAGTGGGCATTGTCTCTGAGCTTAGGTACAGAGGCCGAAACACAAGATGAGCCAAGAACCTATCGACCTTTTTATGTCTGTTTCTCAGTCTCGGAAATCTATGTCAATTAGTTGCAGTGCAGTGCAGCAATTGTGGCATGCACGTACAATGGCCAAAGGCACGTCGAGTTCTGATTCCATTTCATTCAAGGTTAATGTTCTTGGCAACATTTTTGGCCAACATTGCATAACCAAAAATTCATAACTCATAGCTCGCAGAGTCCATATTCAGTTCAAATGCCAATGCACTACCAACATTTGGCGTGCCAGGCAGCAGGAATTGCCGCAACTGCAACTGCAACTGCAACTGCAACACGCAATTAATAGGCCACAAGTGGCACGCACCCCCAACCAAATGTTGTTATTGATGATTATGTAAGCAGCGCGAGAAGCAGGAAAACATTTTCAACGCGCGCTTTTAATCAAATTTGCAACAAACAACAAAATGCAAAATCAAAGCAAATCAAATCGATTGAAAAATTGGTTAACAACTTGCAGCGGATGTGGCTGCAGCAGACGCACGGCCAGCAGCCGGGGTGCAACATTGAGCAGCTGATGACTCGCCGCATTCGGGGATTGGTCTGTGTTCTGGGGCAGCTTCTTGCATTTTTTAATGTATTTTTAAATAAGGAATTTAATAAGCACCTTGGCGGCCGTCGGACAACGACTCGAACGCAGACATCGAATTCGACGACGACGACGACAACACAAAGTGGCCCAGACACATGGTCCATAATAAAAATAAAAAATAAATATTAAAAAAAAAAAAACAAAACAAAAAGACTGTAGGGCGAGAAGCAATTTTTGGGTATAACCCAGAACATACAGTGGGCAACAGATCAACTATATACTAGCTAAAAATGTAATAGCTAATAAAAAATAAAAACAATTATTTAATATCCGAATTAAGAAAAACGAGATATGGAGAAGATAAAATATCCCTGCAGACGTTTGTCTATGTTGGAATTGTGAAGCTATTAATGCTAAATTTGATGAAAATATATTGGAAAACAGAATATTTTGTTAAACAATAACCT